CACAAATTGAAATATCTAGGGATATACCTGACTAAAAGAACAAAAGATCTATATGAGGAAAACTACAGAACACTATTACAAGAAACCAAGAATGACTTCAACAAATGGAAGAATATCCCATGCCCATGGATTGGAAGACTCAATGTAGTAAAGATGTCAATTCTGCCCAAGGCACTATATAAATTTAATGCAATCCCGATACAATTACACTCATCGTTCTTCAAAGAAATAGAAAACTGATTACCAACTTCACATGGAGAGGAAAGAAGACCAGAATTAGCAGAGAACTCCTCAAGAAGAAGGACACAGTGGGAGGGCTTGCTTTACCTGACTTTAGCACATATTATGCAACCACAGTGGTCAAAACCACATGGTTTTGGTCAGATACTCAGACCAATGGAAAAGAACTGAAAACCCAGAAATAAAATCATCAGCATACAGACAACTTATCTTTGATAATGGCCCAAAAATTATCCAATGGGAAGCAGATGCCCTCTTCAACAAGTGGTGCTGGAAAAAATGGATATGTACGTGGAGAAAAATGAAGCAAGACCTTTATCTCACTCCATGCACAAGAATAGACTCAAGGTGGATCACAGACCTCCAGGTAAAACCCCAAACTATTAGGGCCATCAATGAGGGAATTAGGACCAACCTGAGAACTTTGGCACAGGAATACAAAGGCTATCAGAAATAGGGAATGACACAAACACAGGGGAGGCACAAATTGACAAGTGGGATATACTGAAGATAAAACACCTGTGTACGTCAAAAGAATTCACTGAGAGTAATAAGAGAGTCCACGGACTGGGAAAACATCTTTAGCAATGACACATCAGACAAAGGTCTTATTACTAAAATCTACAATACTCTGCTAGCTTCCAAAAAGGAAAACATGAATTGCCCACTGAGGAGGTGGGCAAATTAACTGAACAGAAGTTTCACAGGGGCAGAAATCTGAATGGCCAATAAACATATGAGAAAATGTTCCTGATCTTTAGCCATAAGAGAAATGTAAAGTAAAACAACATGAGATACCACCTAACACCCTAAAAGATAGCCCAATTCAAAAAATCAGAAAGTAACAAGTGTTAGAGAGGCTGTGGGGAGACAGGAACTTTCATCCACTGCTGGTGGACCTGTAGGTATGTACAGCCACAATGTAAATCGATCTGGTGATATTTAAAACAGATTGAAATTGAGCTACCGTACGACCCAGCAATCCCCCTACTGGGCATATACCCAGAAGAGGCAAGAAACAAACCACAGCCAGACATCTGTGCTCCAATGTTCATGGCAGCACAGTTCACAATTGCAAGGAGTTGGAAACAACCCAAATTTCCATCAACTGATGAATGGATTATAAAACTTTGGTTCATACATACAATGGAGTACT